ACAGGGACATGGGGACACAGGGACAACCATGGGGACACAGGGACACGGGGACAGGGACACGGGGACAGGGACATGGGGACAGGGACATGGGGACACAGGGACATGGGGACACAGGGACAGGGGGACAGGGGGACAGGGACAGGGGGACAGGGGACAGGGACATGGGATAGGGACAGCGGGACATGGGGACAGGGACATGGGGACACAAGGACAGGGGGACACGTGAACAGGGACATGGGGACAGGGACACGGGGACATGTGGACAGGGACATGGGGACAGGGGACAGGGACATGGGGACACAAGGACAGGGGGACAGGGGACAGGGACACGGGGACACCAAGACACGGAGCTGGAGCGGCCACCACAGGATGTCCCCTTGTCCCCAGCCCACCCCGGCACCGTGAGCGCTCCCAAAATTCCCATTTACCGTGGAAAAAAAAAACCTGGGAATGCTCCAGGACCCTCAACATCCTGGGAAAATCCGATCCCAAGGGATTTGTCATCCCAAAACTCTATTTTTGGAACATTCCCACACAAAATTCCCATTTTTCCACCTGCCACAGAGCCCCACCTGGCTGAGTCTGTTCCCAAAATTCCCATTTTCTGTGGAAAAACCACCTGGGAATGCTCCAGGACACCCAAGCCTGGTCTGGCTGTTCCCAAAATTCCCATTTTCTGTGGAAAAACCACCTGGGAATACCCCAGGACACCCAAGCCCTGCTCAGCATCCCAGGAAAATCCGATCCCGAGGGATTTGTGATCCCAAAAATCCATCTTTAAACACATTCCCACCAAAAGTTCCCTCTGGAATCTCTCCAGGAGAGCCATGCCTGTCCCCCAGCCTCCCAAAAAACCCCATTTCCGTGGGAATGGGCAGCAGCAGAGCCCTGGAATTCCATGGAATTCCCTGGAATTCTGCTGGAATCCCTCACAACCTCAGGAATTCCCCCTCCCCCTTCAAACCCACCATTTTTTGCCTCCAATCCCAGGAATTTTTTGCTCCCATTCCCAGGTGAGGGATGGGGAAGGAGCTTCCCAATTTTTGGATTCCTGATCCAGAGGAGGGGGTGGGAAATTTGGGAATTGCAGGGAATGCTCCCAAAATCCCGGGATTCTGCGGCTGCCTGAGCGCATCTGGACAGGCTCAGGCTGACGCTGCTGCTCCCAAAAATATCCCAAAAACATCCCGGGGCATTCCAGAGCCTCTGGAAGCGGGATCCGGCCTCCCTGCTGCCCTCCAAACTGGGAGAGACTGGGAGAGACTGGGGAAAAATGGGAGAGAAACTGGGAAAGAATGGGGAAAAATGGGAGAAAAAATGGGAGAGAAACTGGGAGAAAAACTAGAAGAGAATGGGGAAAACTGGGAAAGAAACTGGGAGAAAAAATGGGAGAGACTGAGGAAAATGGGAGAGAAAATGGGAGAGACTGGGGGGAAAATGGGAGAAAAAATGGGAGAAAAAATGGGAGAAAAAATGGGAGAAATGTGGATGAGAATGGGGAAAAATGGGAGAAAAAATAGGAGAGAAACTGGGAGAGAATGGGAGCAAAAACTGGGAGAAAATGGGAGAAAATCTGGGAGAGAATGGGGGAAAAATGGGAGAAAACTGGGAGAAAAAACTGGGAGAAAAAACTGGGAGGTCCCAAATTCTCAGGGATGGAGCCCCCAAATCCTTTGGGATAAAATTCCCAAATCCCTCGGGATGGAGCCCCCAGATCCTCAGGAATGAAACCCCCAAATTCCACAGGATGGAGCCCCCAAATCCTTTCGGATAAAGAACGCAAATCCCAAAGGATGGAGCCCCCAAATCTTTTGGGATGGATCCCCCAAATCCTTTAGGATAAAATCTCCAAATTTCTGAGGAATGGATCCCCCAAATCCCTCGGGATGGATCCCCAGGAACATTCCCAGGAGTTTCCCAAACCCTGGAGAAATCCCAAAATATCCCCAAAACCCCCAAATCCCCCAAAATCCTCCCCAAACCCCCCAAAAATCCCCCAAACCCCCCAAAAATCCCCCAAACCCAGCGCACTCACCTGGGCCAGGTGCCGGGGACAGCGGGGCTGGAGCTGGGGGGGGGAGCGTGGGGTCAAAGGTCAGAGACCCCCAAATTTCGGGACCCCCCCATCCCTGGGGACCCCCCAAATTCCTGGGAAATCCCCCCAGAATTTTGGGAACCCTCACAATTCCTAAAGAACCTCAAATTTTGGGGACCCCTCCCAATCTTTGGGGACCCCCCCTGATCCTTGAGAATTCCCAAATTTTGGAGGACCCCCCCCCAAAATCCCCCAAAAAATTCCCTCTGTCCCCGAAGACCCCAAATTTTTGGGGGATTCCAAATTTTTGGGGACCCTCCAATCCCAAAAATCTCAGGGACGTCCCCCCAAAAAATTCCAGAACTTTTCCCCCTTACAACCTCAGGGGACCCCCAAAAAAAATATTCGGGGACCCCTCCCAAAAGCTTGGGGATCGCCCCAAAAATTCCCCAAAATCTCAAGGACTCCCCAAATTACTCAGGAGCCCCCCAAAGGTTCAAAAACTGCTCAAAACCCCCTAAAAAAACCTCAAGGGTCCCCCCAAAACCCTCTCAGGACCCCCAAAAAAACCCAAGGGACCCCCAAAAAACTCAAAGGTCCCCCCAAAAACCCTCTAAGGACCCCCCAAAATCCCCCAGGGTCCCCCAAAACCGCCCCCAGAGCCTCAGGGTCCCCCCCAAAGCCCCCCAAAACCGCTTCTAGAAACCCCCCCACCCCCCAAAACCCCACAAAAACCCCCCCAAAGCCCCCCAGGACCCCCCAAAAACCCTCCGGGTCCCCCCAAACCCCCTCAGAGCCTCAGGGACACCCCCAAGTTCCCCGAGGGACCCCCCAAAACCCCTCGGGGTCGCCCCAACCCTCCCCGGCCTCGCTCCGCGGCTCGCCCCGAGCCCCCCCGGCCCCTCGGGGTCCCCCCAAATCTCCCCCCGGGCCCGTCCCGCCCCTCCCGGGATCCCCCCCGGGGCCGGGCCAGGCCCGAGCCCGCGGCGGCCGCGGCCGCAGCGGCGGAGGCCGCGCACCGACCCGAGCGTCAGCGGAGGCTCCCGGCCGGCGCCGGGGGGTGCGGCCGGGCTCAGTGGCGGCCGCCGCGGGTCCCCCCGGCCGCTCCGGCGCCGCTCCCGGGCCCGGGCCCCGCCGCCGCCATCTTGAACGCGCCGCCCCCGCCGCCGCGCTTGGCGGCACCGCCCGACGCTTTTGCGGCACCGCGGGCGACGCTTTACGGCAGCGGCCGTTGCGCGGCAGCGGCGGGGGGCGCCCCCCCCTCACGCGGCGTTGCCATGGGAACGGCGCCATTCTCCCCCCCCGGCCCCGGCGTTGCCATGGGAACGGTGCCGTTCTCCCCCCCCCCCCCCCCCAGGACTGTGGGGCCGCTGTGGGGTCCCCATTGGGGTTATGGGGTCACTGTGGGGTCCCCATTGGTGTTTATGGGGTCACTGTGGGGTCACCATTGGGGTTATGGGGTCACTGTGGGGTCACCCCAGTGGGGTTATGGGGTCACTGTGGGGTCACCCCAATGAGGTTATGGGGTCACTGTGGGGTCCCCAGTGGGGTTATGGGGTCACTGTGGGGTCACCCCAGTGGGGTTATGGGGTCACTGCGGGGTGTCCCCATTGGGGTTATGGGGTCACTGTGGGGTCACCAGTGGGGTTATGGGGTCACTGCGGGGTGTCCCCATTGGGGTTATGGGGTCACTGTGGGGTCACCAGTGGGGTTATGGGGTCAGCCTGTGTTTAGGGTCACCGCAGGGTCACCCGTGCTTAAGGTCACTGTGGGGTCACCCCAACGTTGTTGTAGGATCACCCGTTTAGGGTCACTTCACATCCACCCCAATGCTGTAGGGTGGCCCTGTGACCCTCAGTGTTGTGGGGTCACCCTGGGTTGTTGTAGGGTCACTGTGTGTTTTGTAGGGTCACTGTGTGTCCCCCGTGCTGTTGTAGGGTCACTGTGTGTCCCCCGTGCTGTTTTAGGGTCACTGTGTGTCCCCCGTGCT